AATTCACACTGAAGAGAAGCCACACACAGAATCCCTGGAGGACAACCTGAGCGTTCATTCAAATGAGAACATGTGTTCTTTGTGTGGGAAGAGTTTTTGCTGGCTGGGTGATTTAAAATTACACCAGAAAAGACAAAGGGGTGTGAAGAATCTTGTGTGCTTTGAGTGTAAGAAGACCTTTATTACAGACGCTGAACTGAAACAGCACCAGAAAATTCACATTGTTAAAAATTCTTAAACTGGTGAACGAATCGTGTGTGTTCACACTGTGACGAGATTAAATGAGTCAGGGTAATTTTTTTGCCTACTGAATCTGCTTGTACTAACAATAATTGCATGATTTTTGTTATATCTGAGCAATGATTATATCTGTATCATAATTGCTTTTAGGATTTTTCATGTTTAAAATCCTTTAATGCCTAATCAATTCTATTCTATCCCAAACATGACACATTATTAACTGTCCCTCAAAAAGGGAATTACAAAATACTTTGAAACTTACTGATACATTGAAGGCTAAGTTAGGTGACAATTGAACATGCAAAACTGTTAAGTGATGGAGGTCTGTTAGTATTTTGCAGAGATAGCAATCAATGTGACATGGCTTTATGATTCAAATTGATGATAGGGAAAACAGGTTTCAGTGGTGTGTTAAGAGGAGTAATTTTATATTCCATATCTCGGATAGTGCATCTACATCACAGAGATGTCTTCATTTACATCTGCAAGATGTATTTTTAAGAGCGTTTGCTCATCTACATGACATCTCTAAGACATTTCCCATGATGTCAAATAGATGTTTAGAAAATGACTAAGATGTTTGATTTAGAATGTATGTGAAAATGGACACCTTAAAGATGTTTATCAGATGTTTGATTAGATGTTCCAGATCAGGTAATCTTTAAAAGACGTCTTGCAGATGTCCAGATGTGTGGTCTGGTTGCTGATAGGATTGTTGAGCACACAGCTGTAGGTGTTTTTATCCTGATATTCCACCTCCAGAGGTAGAGAGAGACTGATGCTGAGATCAGACACACTGATGCTGGACAATAAACTGTTTCCTTTGTACCAGGAGAGAGTCACATGACTCACATTCAACACTGAACACAGGAAGATCCTCAATGATCTTTCAGCCGATAAAGCACATTGTGAAGTATCACTACAGGAATGGGCACATGAGCTGCAAACGCAATAAAGAGAAAACATAAAACTAGAAAAAAAATTATATTATTTACAAAAACTAGATTCATCTCACCATAAACAGTGACAGCAAATCACTTGGTTGACTTCTTATTCCTGATAATGATGCTCAGTTGATAAACGCCATTGTGTTCATTAGTGATGTTTGTGACGGTGAGATCTCCCCAACCCTGCAGAGACGTCAAATATTTATTACTCACCAATCAGAGGAATAAAACATAAAAAGTACAAAACGAGCGCATGAATCATTTTCTTCAACAGTTTGAGATAGATCACAATGCCTTTAATAACAGATTTCATGAAAGACATCTCGTTTTGAATATGGGTCCATTATGTATAGATCATTTGCGGTTTTTAAAGCCAAGAAGTCCTCAGCCAATCAGAAAAAACTCATTCAGTCTGCACGCCTCCACTGCGAGATGAAGAGATGTAGGCTACATGTGTTTTCTGTTGTAATGACCTTTTAAATCTCTTGTCACAGTGTGAACACTTGTAAGGTTTTTCTCCAGTGTTAACTCTCTGGTGCTGTTTCAATATGGTAGCCATAGCAAAAGTCTTCCCACAATAAAAACAAATATGATCATGTGTTTTCTGGTGTAATTTAAAATGATGTAATTTAAGAGCTCCTGCTTGTCTAAAACTCTTTCCACACTGATCATATGGGTACGGTTTCTCTCCAGTATGAATTATCATGTGATACTTAACACCTTGTTTGGATGAGAAACTCTTTTCACACTGAAATATTTTTTGGCTCTTGTTTGCAGCGAGCAACTCAAAGATTTATCTTCAGTTTTGACATGATGTTTCTCCTCTGCTTCATTCAGTTCTTCCCTCTTCTCATTCTCTTCCATCAGGTCTGAAATTAAAGTTAATTAAAAAATAATTTAAAGTAAATCATTCAAAAAATAAAAAATCACGAAAGGACATTTGCTACAGTTGCTATAGGCTAATAAGTTATGATTAGCTGCGTTACCACTTTCAGGCCAAAAGCAGGCATGCTAGTGCGTGCCAGAGCCAGGTGCATTTCCACAATTAATTCTTGGGCTTTCTCTGGGCGAACGGCGAGGGTTTTTTGGCCTGCCGAATACCTTGGTCCAAAGCGGGCCAACTCAGGCTTGAGCCGTGGTTATGAACAAAGGAGGAGTTTCTCCGTCTGGAGAGGGTCAGCGCTGCTGATTAGGGCTGCACGATTAATCTAATGTGATTGTCATGAGCATTTTGTCAGTAAAGCCGGTTCTGTAATCAGCAGTAAATCTCCATGGCACACCCGATTTATTCAGCAACCGCATTTCCTGGATTTCTTCTGCGGGCATATTTGGAGTTTCCACGCAAGAGCGTCCTCAGGCCTTTGGATGAAGATTTACTACTGATCACAGAGCTGTGCTTCACTGACAAGATGCGCATGACAATCGTAGCATTTGCCTAATTGCGATTTCATTTCAATTCATCGTGCAGCCCTATTGCTGATCATTTCATATAGCTACCAGCTACATCAGCATTAGACATTTAAAATCCTTTTAACTGAAAATTTACTTTCAGAGAGCAGAAAGTGGTTGAAATAACATAAAATTCAGTTTGATCTGATGTGGATTCTGATTACTGTATAAGGCAGAATTATATTATTTATATGCGATGCAAAAGGCTAGCATTACCATGGTAAACATTAAATACAAGACACTGCATCAAATCATATATCATATTTATTTGGTCACATATTTTATCTGTCAATGAGTCTCTGCGCTCAAAGCTCCAGATTGTAGAATTTTGTGGGAAAATTATAGAAATTATCATTCTGTCTAAGGACAAGTGATATAAACAACTGAAAATTTACCAGATTTTTTTTTTTTATGTGCATGTTTTTGAGCAACGCCGACATCCTACGTCATCCGCCCGGAGCTGCTTCTGTGTTCAACAGTGAGCGCAAGCTAGATTAAATTGATAAATTGATTTTACAGCATCGTTAACGAAAAATCAAAAATAAACATCTCTTTGTTCTGTATCTTCATGCTTCACTCTGAAGAGTTCTGGATCATTTTTGATATCACTGTAATCTTCAATATAGGCTACTCTATCGATTTATGTTCTTCCACATGGTTTGAATTCATGTCTTGCACTTGTAAATAGTGATTAAAAAAAACACGATTCGTGATTCTTCAAAAACTTTGCAAAACTGTTATTTAGAAATCACTGTTCAGATTGCGCCTCTTCTTTTCTTTCCTTTTATGGTGTTTTTGCTGGTCTTGGAAACCAGTGTAAAAGGTGCATTTGTGCCAACTACTGGTCGGGAGTGCGGAGCGCACAGTTTAATAAGGGGATAAAGAAATGAAAGGGGAGACAAAACTAAATACTTCTATATTCTTTCTGTTATCTTTTTAAAATATGTAAACATTTCCTCATATACTCTTGATTGCCTTTATCCGTTTTGCTAAACCTTAGAATGATATAATTCTCAGACCAAATTGATGAGAGCTGAAGTTTTCCTCTTTCATATGCAATACATTTCAGAATGCTTTACTTTTTCTGGGTGTCCTGTACTAAACAAAAATAATGAAGTGCTTTCCAAATCTCTTACTTTGATAGAGATATTTTAAAGAGATTTTATGAGGCAATCTCTGCTGCTTATAGATTGATGTCATAAACATGGTATACTTTAATTTTGCTTTCAAAACTTTTTGAAGTTGCTGAGATAAAAGCGCTAAATGCCTTAACAGGAAAGTTCACCAAAAATAAAAATTCTGTCTTCATTTATTTACCCTCATATTTCAAACCTGTATTTTCTTTTGTCTGTGGAACATAAAACATATTTTGAAGAATGTTGGAAACCAATCAGAGTCACTGAGACATTTCTCAATATCTTCTCGTGTTTCCACAGAAGAAAGTCATACATGTTTGGAATGACATTATTTTTTGGGGGGGAACGGTCCCTTTCAATATACATACAATGAGAACATGTCTTTATATTAGCCAGCCAGACCACTGTAAGGACCACCCACTGGTCCAACGACAGAATCCAATGGCATGGGGTGAAAGATTACCGAGAACCGACGTGTATATAACTCGGCTCGCAGTGCCATTTCTTCAGATCATGCTCCTTCCGCAACGAGGATCATCTCTTCGCTGACTCTATCAAGAAGCAGGAGGAGGAAGCAGCTCACAGGAGTTTTCCCCTTACACAACGCTCTTTCCCTTATCTCAGGGAAAAAACATTTATTTTTGCTGAGTTGGTTTTGACAAAGTAAAAAGGGCGTATTACACACTACCATTGAGAAATTCACCAAAGTATGTTAGACTTCATTAAGACCCTAAAGAATCATACCAACTTGTGGAAAATGGGCATCCGATGACCCCTTTAAGACCAACAAAATTAATACTGAATAAAAGGGGTCTTTGGAGACATACCGACTCGCTAAATACTGAACATTTTTCAAAACTATTAAACCAAGATTTACACAAATCCTACACTGCTCTTGCATTAGTGTTAACTGTTTCATTTCTGGTAGCTTTATACTTCAGTTCAAAGGATTTCCCACTACTTTTGCTGCCAAGCTCCTGGAGAAAGCACTTATAAAATAAATATCCACACAACACAAGTTTTGCTAAACTGATATTTATTTGGTGAATGTAGAGGACCTCAAATATGGTACGCAAAAAAAACCTTTCCCGATGGTTAAACTGGCATGGTTCGCTGCATACATGCAGGCACAGGTGGTTGGGTAACACTTCGGTCAGGCAGGACATCGATCATCATGGGAAGAGATATCAGCCGACCAAATGTGAGACATGGATCAGGCCCACACTGCATGGATACAGAGTCAGACTTGGTCTGTCCAGTTAACAGGGGGTAGAGAATCTGACCAATGCATTAATATAACATACCTTTAGATAGACATACACTGATGTCCACATCCATTGCGGCAGCATTTCTCATCATTCGGACAGTCACTGTCATGAGAACACAATTCAGCACACACTCCTATTCCAAGGTTTTTGCTTGGACACACTCCTGGCTTTTCTTTTATACAAGCACAACAGGGAAACCAGATCACTGAATGATTCAATCTCTGTAATGGGGGGAAAAAAGCAGCTGACCCGCACACCAATATTACAAATACCTCTATATGGAGGCATACACTGTTGTCCACATCCTTTGCTGCAGCATTTCTCATCTTTTGGACAGTCACTGTCATGAGAACACCTCTCAACACACCCCCCTAAAAGTGCTACTTCAGGATTTTTTGGACACACTCCTGGCTTTTCTGGTTCTGCGGACACAAACACCCACACTGAAAGCAAGCTGACCAGGGGCTGGATTGGTAATCGGGTCTATATCGACTACATTGTCGGACCTGACATTTTCTTCTTATCCAAAACAACTAGATGTGATATGAGTGCGATGCATGTCAACCAAAACAACTAGATGTGATAGGAGTGCGATGCATACATACACTACCAGTCAAAAGTTTTTGAACAGTAATTTTTTTTTTTTATAAAGTCTCTTCCCGCCAAGCCTGCATTCATTTGATCCAAAATACAGCAAAAGCAGTAATATTAAAATGTTCTTACTAAAAATAACTGCTTTCGATTTATATATATA